CTGTTAAATTTAATAAAGCTTCCACCGGAATTTGCCGAAATCTGTTTACTGTCATTCAATTACATTTGGAGTAACGGAACCAGTGAAATAAAAATTTCAACCCCGAAAATATTTTAATTTCACCACATTCACAAAACAAAAATAAAACCGAACTGGCGTCATTCCCTGTGGAATAAAAAAAAAGCAAAATGGAAAATCATCAGTCCATTGTCGAGAGCTCTGACAAAAACAGCGGAAAATGGGAAAATAGTTCCTGTCGATGCGGGTGACCATTTTCAGTCTCAAATTGAGAACGGAATCGATGTGGAATGCTTTATTGCGAAATGCCAGGAATTTTTATTCGACTTTTTAGACTTATTTTGAAGTACGTAGAGAGAGGGCGAATGTTTGCGATAATTTTTTCATTTCGATTCACGGTAAACATTTTTTCCTGATAGTAGTACATACTATGTGTTATGTATTAAACGAGACAAAGACAAGTTGTTTAATTCTTAAAGACAATACAAAACTACCATGAGTATCATGACAAGATAGAGACGGTTGAGACGGACATGACAGACCGTCTTCTTGCGTGATGCGTGCTGTCGACTGTCATGTCAAACTGTGTTCCGAAAACCAACTACATGATTGCCAACTTAAATATAACACTATAATGCTTTATTTACTATATATCTTAATCCATTACTTCTTAATATACTTCATACAATATAAAAACCAATGCACGTCATCGATGACGTTATAAAGTTTAGACCGTCACAGCTCCACACCGTTGCCAAATTTTAAAAATAATTGGGGAATCTTTGAAAGTTCAGACAATTGTAGCTACAGAAAAGAAAAGCAGCTGTAAATCGTTGTGATGTTAGCCAATAAGTAGTATGTTCTATGTATAAGCATGAATCTATTTAGAACATCTGTTGAGTAAGGATGTGCCATGAAGTACAAACAGGACTTTTCACTAGTGATCTTTTCCGATTCCTGAAATTTTGCCGGCAAATATCATGATAATAGACTTCACAAGAGAGAACACTTTGTATTTTGGTCAAAGTTTCACTGTAAATTTCAGTATCTGATCCTTCCCTGAAGTGCGTAATGGCTGATTCTTAGAGCGATATTGTTTCTTTTTTTTTGTTGCAAAAAAACACACATTCAAGTTTGCTAATGCTACATTATCAGAAGTATGAACAGTCGATGATTCTGCTAAATCTTCCGAAGGTCCTGCCTCCAACAGCTGTTCAGCTTCAGCGTCAATTTCTTTTTTTACTTCTCCGGAAGATTCACATCTTTTACAAGGGAATCATGTACAATTGTATCATCAATTATTGAGCTATCAGCTGATGTAGATGGTTGTTCAATTGCATACGAAGACGTACTGGGCTGTGATGGAACTTTTTTTTAACATTTGTCGACATAAAATGTGTTTTCAATGCTGTAAATGTCTTGTAACAAGTACTATGATATGCAGAATCATAAATTTCGTCCGGTAAAATGATATCTTTATAATTCAATTTATGAAATTTTCGTAACCTCAAAATCTATTGACATTTTGACATAGTCTCTTCTGAAAATATCAGTAATTTATCAGTTTTTACCGTGCCACAAGAAACATACTTCACTTCGTTTTTTTCACTCGACATAATGTCATATATATTAAATAAATAATAGAGTAATCAACAAAATAAAAGAAAGCAACACTATGTATTTTATTAAATTCACAAAACACGAGGTATCTGTATGAAGGGCATTTTGTCTCGGGGATTTTGTCGGCGAGGGTTTTGTCGCCGGGGATTATGTCGGTAACCCGTAGAATAATTTGAAAATTCGAAAACAAATCTCAAAAATCCCCCTACGATTTATTTGGACCATCCCCGAACCCCAAAGGAGAAAACACATATTTAGAGATTTGAAAAAAAAACCTATCGCCTCTGGTATTCGAACACGGGTATCTTTTTTCTGTACACAAATGCCCTTACCTTTACACTGTCAAGATTCCTAGACGTCAATTTGTTGTACCAATTCGGACCAAACGCCCTTTCAGGTTTTTTACGCCCTTTCAGGTTTTTTATTTTCAAATCATTAAATGTATTTTTAACTTTGGGGTTCGGGGATGGTCTTAATAAATCGTAGGGAGATTTTTGAGATTTGTTTCCGAATTTTCAAATGGTTCTTTATATTTTTTAATATTAATAATTTTATTTGAATTCAAGTTTTCAATCTTATCAAACTATTATAAAACAATTTCAAAACTCCTCTGTCAATTTCCCAAAATCCTTTTTTTTTGACAAACCTAAAATCTCATAATAATTCTCTTTAAAAAACAAAAACAAATTAAAATAAACATCCCAGCACCATCGTCGTATAAACTTTCGAAATACATAATCAACGCCACCGATGCAAAACGAAAACATGTAGACAAAAAGTCAAATGACAGAATCATCACAATACTTTATTTTTTAATACATTACATTACTTTTTAATACTTTACTTTTTAATACTTTACTTCTTAATACATTATTTTTTAATACATTACATTACTTCTTAATACATTACTTGTTAATACATTACTTCTAAATATATTACTTCTTAAAACATTACTTCTTAATACATTACTTATAATTATATTACTTCTTAAAACATTACTTCTTAATACTGTAGTGTAAGATGCGTGAGTACGGGACAGTAGCCACGAAGAAAAAAAAAGAACTGTCAAGGGTCAGGAAGTGGAAATTCGAACGGGCATCGAACATGATCTTTGTATTATGAATTTATCGAAAGAGCTGTTAATACATATTCAAGTGGGTCTAGTAGTTTAAATACACAATAAATACATTACTTTTTAAATTCATTACTTTTTAATACATTACTTTTAAATACATTACTTTTTAATACATTACTTTTTAATACATTACATTTTAATACATTACTTCTTAATACTGTAGTGTAAGATGCGTGAGTACGGGACAGTAGCCACGAAGAAAAAAAAAGAACTGTCAAGGGTCAGGAAGTGGGAATTCGAACGGGCATCGAACATGATCTTTGTATTATGAATTTATCGAAAGAGCTGTTAATACATATTCAAGTGGGTCTAGTAGTTTAAATACACAATAAATACATTACTTTTTAAATTCATTACTTTTTAATACATTACTTTTAAATACATTACTTTTTAATACATTACTTTTTAATACATTACATTTTAATACATTACTTCTTAATAAATTATTTTTTATTACATGACTTATGAATGCATTACTTCCTAAAACATTACTTCTTACTACATTAGTTCTTAATACATTACTTACTACTTAAAACATTACTTCTTAATACATTACTTCTTGATACATTACTTCTTAATACATTACTAACTTCTTAATACATTTTACTTTTCTCATATCTATAAAAATTCTTGCCTTGCTGTTAAAGGATAATTTTAATATTGACAGCATAATTTAACTTTAGGCCCTTTATTCTTTGACACGAATTTTGAAAGTATTTCTCCCTGAATTTAATTTTTTTTATGATTTTAAAACATTTTTTGCTATATTTTTAAGGTATTATGTAAAATTAATTAAAAATCATAAACAATTTTTTTTAAAGAAAGCTAATAATAATTTATGATTAAACAAACACTAAGTGCTGGATTTCTTATTTAATAAATACATTTAGGCATGTATGCTTAGAAGGTTAGGCTTAAGATACCATTTGGGTAGGCGCGTCAGGAGACAAGCGACCACTGAAGCGACCCCAAGGTCGAGTAGGACGACAGATGCATAAATGTTACGCTTCGTACATTTCGCCAGCTTGAAGAAGTGTCGCGCGACACTTGCAAATAACCATTCGAGGGAACGATCAGCGTTGCCAGACCTACTGTTTTTACGTAGATCCAGTGTTTTTGTCTCTAGTAAATTTTGTTCTTAATTTATTAAGTTTGCCTCATTCTTCAGCAAATGGTTAAAGAATATTTTCTCTAGTAAATTTTCTGCAGTAAAAGCAGCGTAATAAGCAGCCACTACTGTCGTCGTCTTAACGACACTTCTCTTGTCGCGCCGTGCGAAATGTGTTTCATATAATTGTATGTATTTTAGATGTGAAGCGACACTTTTCGGTCGCGTCGGCGGTCGTATGTCGCGTCGGCGGTCGTCTGTCGCGCCTACTGAAATGGTACTTATTCTGCAAACCAAGAATATTCGCGACGTATTTATTTAAGATAGTAGTTGACAGATGATAGATACCTGCCATCATTGTCATGGTAACTTGTTTTAAGTAGAAGCAATACGTGTTACCAACTTTACGTTAACGTCACGCCCATTTGTAATTTCGATTTTAATTTCTTAACCGAAACAGATTTCAAACTAATTGCGTGCCGTCAATTTAGAAAATACGTTATAGTTTATGGACAAACTCTCAGCAACTTCACCAGGCATACATATATCCGAACATTGTATAAACTGCCGGGTTTGAAAGCCATTCATTAAAACTCAAAACTAGTTGTCGCCGACTTGAAAAGACTGTCGCCGAGGGCGCACTCGAACCCGATAATTGAATGTTCCCAAATTAAGGCGTAGGGTGTAGTAGATCGTATATACTAATACGATATTTGATTGAAATTGTTTGTTGTAGTACAATATAATTTTTATTTGAGTTGTCAATAATATAAAGATATTGAAACTGGCTTTATATGGGACAAGATGAAAAAAATATGCGTCAATAACCAATCAGAATCTAGCGTTTAGTCTAACTATTAATCGATAAAACGATATTCAGCTTTACAATTAGAAAAATCCTACTGACTGCGCCAATTTTTTTGTATTAATTATTAAAAAAAAACATTTCTATGTATCTAAAAAAAGACGTACTCAAATAAAGGATGAACTTAACTTCCTTGGGAGTTTTTCTAATTTACTGCTAACGACTAAACGCTTTTTTCCTGCCACGAATGGAACAACTAAATTAGCTTTTTATCGGCGACAATCGCACTAAATCTTGTCGTTCTCTTGTTACAGGCAATCCCCGTAATAAATGCGCCCTTCAACCTGGACATTCCCTCATGGACTGGATCCGGCTCGGGGCGTCCGGCAAGGATCTTACTGGACTTGGGTCTCAGGCTGGTCACCTTTTCGTAAGTATACTATTCAAACCTCTTATTCATTATACCAAATTTATTGCGAACAATCCCTATGGGCCATTCGCACAGCTTCAGGATAAATGGCCTGTTAGTAAAGTGAAACCTATTATTTAAGTATTATTACAATTTTTAAAATGATTATAATTTTATTGTTTGTAAAAATATTGGAGTTATAAAGCTATGTATTGTAAGGATATTAATAAATTTGCTGATTATAATATTAAAAATCAAATAGTTTTAGACAACTAATCCATTCAAGTCAATGATAGTTAAAAACTTTCACAATTTAAAATATGAATTATTTTGAGGTTAAGTGATAATTTAAGCTAAGGCATTTCTAAGATTATAAAAAGTGATACTTAACACCTTGTAGCGTAGAATTTTAATAACAGTATGTTACCTACTTTTTGATTTAATTTTATCTGAACAGAATATAAAATATTTATGGGGCCACAATAAGTTTTACCTCACCTGAACAAAATATAAACTATTTATAAGGCCAAAATAAGTTGAGCCATAGATATCCGTTTAAACTGTATTTCCAGACTGACTTGTAATAATTAATGTATTTAATTGCCTCCCCGCGTATATATCAAAGAAAGCTTAAAAATATTATTAGGTAGGGTAGCTGTAATCTATATAAAATAAAACAATAATAATAACCGGCACTCGTCGGCATGATGGTAATTAAAAAAAAAAGCAACTAAATCCTGCAAAGCGTTAAAATATAAGTTGGAAAAAAAATTACCTGACAATTACCCCAACGGTAGCACATAAGCACATACGAAAGATACACGATAATTATCTAAATTTACTCATAATAAGTACAAACTAGTAGATTTGTCGACACAACACTAGCACATTGAAGTTTGAGTTCGATAAATGAAAAGGACTCTTAAAACAACGGCAGCTAGTTTTATCTCGGCATGAATGCAGAAGAAACGCTGGGCACGTGCGCAAACCGTACTTTGTAATCCAGAGCGAGGCGTCTATGTTTTATTTTGGTTATTTACGGGGGGTTATGGAGAAGTTGTCTGTTAAAAATAGTAACACTCTCCCATCACCCGAGAAAAAAATTTCGAACGTAGAGAGAAATTTTTATAATTAAACTCTCCTACCCAATAAGTGTTGGTGATAAATAACAATGCCACTCATGATTCCAAACTTCTATGCCTAGGAAGAAGAAGAAAAAAACGAGAGAATATTAAGGAATATAAACATAAATTTAAAAGAAGTTAAAGGGAATCTCTAAGAAAGAAGCAAAAGGAAAACAAAAGAAACAAAAAAGAGAGAAAAGAAAACCCAAAGAAGAAACAAAAAGCTTCTAAGGAAAAGAAAAGAAAAAGAAATTCAGGTCACAGGATTAACAAAACCTTAGCAAATTTAATATTTGCCCAACGAAAAATCATAATAGCCACCCAACAAAAAAAAACAACAAAATTTAGGATCAAATCCAAGGACTAACAAGCCCTGGCAAATTGTAGTATTTGCCAAACTAAAATCCACAATATTTACCCCCCCCCCAAAACCGTTAAGGCTTTTTAAGTGTCACTTACATCCAAAGTAGAAGCGGTACAAATGGCTCTATATAACTTTGATAAAATAATTATATTTTAAGGGTTTAGGAAAAATTGATCTACTACTAAAAGCACTGCTATTTGAGATTCAAGCTAAGTCCTGCGTTTAATTAACAGATTTGTGTGTAACACCCAGATAGGTGAAGATTTCCAACAAATTACTCATAAACACATGATAAATATTATATTTATAATTTTAAGGTGAAGGGGGAGAAAAAGTCCTTTATATCTCACAAGGAAAGTCATTTGTTCATAATAAAGATAAATTAGATCCCTTTGACTTATCTGGAATTTATAAATTAACTTGTAAATCTTGCCATTCTTTCTATGTGGGACGCACAACTTCCTTTTTAACCTCCCCCTTTATTTCTATTCACATATTTTCTTGCAAGGGGTACATTTCAGTAAGTAATTTTTTTCCCACAAGAAACCAACGAGCATCTTTAAAGATTAGGTTAGATTGTGTGATATTCACATCCGTCATTTTCTTTTTTTATTCTTCAGTTGCTTCACAACAGTTAACCCAGTAATTTCTTCTTCTTTCTTCTTCCTACAACATCACATACACTTGGTGATTGGTTCATGGCCCAAATATAATAAATAATTAATATTTCTTCACTCATGTTTTACATCTTTTTACCTACGAGTATACCCTGTCATGGGTTTACCCAAGAATTTTTTTGTTAATACTTGCCACCACCTGTAGAGGCCTTAACTTGACAGGTCTCCTTTTAAAAATGTTAGTTTTTTGAAAAAACAACAAGGTTGTTTAAAATAAGCCTTATCTTTTAATCTGTTTAATGTATGTGATTTGTTTTGTATGGTCTTGAATATTTTAAATTTTTACTATTTCAATTGACTAATATTTGTTCTTTCAAATATTTTTAACTTTTTATTACTTGTAAACTTTGTTCATTTTACAATTTATTTCACCCCACATTTGATGAAACTTGTTTTGTAGTATTCCCTAGTGGATGGAGAGTATGGTGAGTTTTCTCTTTTTACTATTTTATATATCGTTTGCTCCAAGTTAACACACCTTATATCACATATTCTCCTTTCCACTAGGCGAGCCTGAAGATGAAGTGATGACACTTCGAAACCGGTCGCACTCAATGTTTTGTTAAATAATTAAACATTGACTTTCCTTGTGAGATATAAAGGACTTTTTCTCCCCCTTCACCTTAAAATTACCTCAACTCACACATGGCTACCCCCCTTGTCAATATATTTATAATGAAAGCACGAAAATTAAACTTAAATTAACACTAAATGAAACTCAAAAACTTTATTATAAAGATAATAGCATCTAAAAACAGTTAAAAAATCCCAAATACAAAATCCCGCCCAAAACATAATTGCTGCGTTTGAGAAACCACATCGGATGCATTTTTTACATCTCGAGCGTTTTTTTATCCACATCTGTCCCATTACATTTACGTATACTGAATCACGTGATCAAAGATTTACTACATCTCAGATGCATCCGATGTGGATTCTCAAACGCGGCAAATGTAAGCAAACAAATATCCTACTTATAGGTGACAAATGACAGGCGCGCCAAAATTAATTTGAATCGCGAATAGTTGAGGAATCTAGTACTTCTTGTAAATTTTGAGACACAGTGTTAAACATTTTAATAAAATCATACCCTAGATGTACGTAAAATATTTGACATTTGACATCCGTGCTAACCTGTCTGGTTCAACTTGTAGTCATATTCATTGACGTGTCACGTCGTTTCTAATACGTATCAGTGGCGATCGCTGAATATGACAGATCACGGTATATTTATTTATTTTTTTTTTATGAACTTTTTAAAAATTAATCAAGAGTTACTCAGGTGTATCAAAACCGGTATATAACTTCGCGAACATTTTGTAGATTATACAGTAGATAAGCTAGTAAAATTTTACATTACTGTTAACCATAAAAATAATGGTGTAATTTTTGTTAATAGGTGACAAAAAAGGAGTTAGCAAAACATAATAAAATAGATGACATTTGGCTGTCAATTCGAGGCAGAGTATACAACGTGACTGAATACATACCATTCCATCCAGGAGGTCCTGAAGAACTGATGAGAGCGGCCGGTATAGACGCTACCAGCCTTTTTGATCAGGTACTACCTCAAAAAAAACAACATTGAACTTGCGCCTAAAAATTATTTACCTGTGTCTTTATCTTTCTTAGTTTTGTCTTCTGGCTTAATTATATCTTGCTAAGGTTTTCGTGTCTATCAAAGACGGCTCCAGGTTGTTTTAATTCAGGGGTGCATGGACGAGATTAAAATTTTTATAATCCATGAGCCTTTTATTAAAAAAATATGTTAAGGAATTGTTATTGGCAATACCTCCCCTCGAAAATTCGGCCTGGAGCTGCCCTAGGTGGCTATAAACTCAATTTTTCTCTCGTTTTGCACTAGGGCTTCATTTCTCTATCTCTATCAGACCTACTTTTGCTGGTTAATTTTTAAACGTTTGAAATTGCAGGTTCATCCTTGGGTAAATTATGAACAAATATTGCAAAAATGCCTCGTAGGAAAATTAGTCTCTGTTGAACCTAATGTCAACACTGAGAAGTTATTTTTTGGTTCACCCACTGATACTAAAATTACCACTGCAGAAGAATTGGTAGAAAAAAGTAGTTACACTAAAAGCACAGGTAAATATTCATTTATATATTTTATTTTAGTTTGTTTAAAATTTTTAAAAGTAACAGAAATTTATCATAAAACAGATGAAAAGACTAGATATACCAAAACTAGTCGAAAAATATTTTGTATTTCGAAAATGTGCAATTTTTTCTGACATGTCATTTTGCCTGACACGCCATTTTGCACGACACGTCATTTTGCCTGACATGTGTCATTTAAGCTGACATATGTCATCATTTTGCCTGACATAAGTCATTTTGCTTAACATTTGCTTAACATATGTCATTTTGCCTGACATATTATGATAACATTTTACCTGACATATTATTATGTCATTTTGGCGTGGCCAACTAGGCATATGTGGATGTATATAATATATTTCTTTAATTTTTCTTCTATTTTAATCTCAATTTCTTCTCTCTCACCAATATGGCTTCCATTAAACTTACAATGTTTCTTTTCATCAGAAAATTTGGAACCTTATCCGAAAATAGACACAAATAAAAACCAAGACACTGAAAATAAAAATATCGACGAAACAGCTGTTCAAGATTCCAAAGAAGAAAAAGAAGATATCCCAATTTCGTTGCCTAGATTCGATTGGATACAAAAATTGGATTACATCACCTCAATTTTCTACACGGGACCGTTCTCGAATCCTTTTATAGAAATTTATCCTCCGAACCATGAAAAAGAAATAATCGTTTCTATTACCTCGGGAAGGAAGATATACAGGTAAGTCTAAAGAATATAATGCTAAAAATAAGTGGAATTAATGGTTAAGTTGCAAAAATATTTCTTCTAGACAAAGAGTTTAGGTTTTATTTTAGATGTAAAGCAGGTCGAGATCTTCTATTGAGCTTATAATTTTATAAATCCACTCCCTCTGTCGAGCTTCTAAGAAAAAATTAAAAATTAAAAAAGAACAAAAAAAACAAAAAACAAAAAAAAAAAATAAAGTTGTATGTTGTGCAGGCCTGCCCTATACGTTTGAGATAAAATGGGTGACTGATTAGCTAATTCCTGGTAAATGTGTAGTGGTTATACTTTGTATCCTAAATTGGGCTAAAATTAATCATTTAACAGTAATATTATCACATTAAAATTGTCAGTGAGATGAATTTGTCACCCATTGTAATAACATGTATGTTTATAATGCATTTATTATAATTTTTTACATAAGACAACTTGACAACGCTGCTTCAAATGATTAAAATGTCCTAGCACATAACCTCGAAAAAAAATGATATTAATACATATTAAAATGACATTAATTAATAATAAAATGGTATTAATGTTAAAAAATTAAAAAACAAATTATACGTCAACAATATTTCAAAATATCGCTTTTTAAATAAAAAAAAAAGTATTTCCATTAAAACAATTTTATTATTGCATAATAAAAATCTCCATATTATATTAACTATTCCAATTATAATAGCATTTAATTAAATGAAACGAGCCAGCCATATTTACTTATGCCTGTGTTTCGAAAACAAATTTAAGTTGCAATAAAATCAAAATCTTCGAATGTAATTATAATCAATTAATAATTAAATGTTTTAATGAATAAATTAACTTTTCCGTATCGAACAAAATTTAATGAGTTTTGAAACACATTAAAGTTATAATGAACGGTTAAACCAAATAAAAGAGATTTAGAAAGATAATTAAAATCGTAAAGTTACACAAAACGAAACAAGTTTCGTAGTATATTTAGTTTCTTGTTTCGATTACGAATAAGTATGGTTTGAATTTAACAAATTTTTGCTGTAATGTTTCCTTTTCCAAACCCCTTGACCCTGCGCTAGTCGCGCCTGATGCTCTGACAGCACTGGTCGCTTAACATTTTCGCATGCTTCAAACCAACGAAAGATTTACATTTTTGGCAATAGAATCTACACTTTTTACTTTTACACCCCGAAAAATATTTTCTAGTGCCTTCTGGTATCTCTTCTACGTTGGATGTAGCCTCAGAAGTTCCTGCTACATCTTGTAGCCTCTGACGGACAGTTTCCGGTACATTTTTTTGATAAGAGCGTCTTTGAAGATGTTCATAAATATTTGTTTTAGAAATATTCTCCGTTTCAAATCGGATTTTGGATCAGGGCATGAACAACCTGACCGTTTATCCTTGTGATGTTCAAAAGGGAAAAAAAATAACCATAGGCCTGCTTCATATGTTTCTTTGAAGATGATTCAGAAATTAAATGATTTAAATAAAAGGCAGAATCTTCATAACCTTTTTATTCAAAATGTGACGACCTCACTCCATGACATTTCCTCGTGGTACCAACCTATTATTACCATCTATAATAATACATTGCTACCAACTATTATTACAATACGTAACAGGGCCAACGTCTGGTAATTCGTGCAACATCATATAGTGAACAAAGCTGGTCTACAGAGTCGACGCCTTATCACCTCAGATTTGTTTTTATCACCAGAAGCGGGATCAATAGCATCGCTAGTGTGCAAACTGGAAATCATAAGAACGTCCTTTCCTTTTTTGAACATAGACCATTATCGTGATATGTTTACCAAATCCAAACATGCTTGATGTTATTGCACGATGTTTGACCTCTACAAACTCCTTAGGTATTTCCCTTCTATTTTTCCTAATCGTTCTGACAAGAGTCAGCTCATGGTATCTCAGCAAATGTTCGACTAATGGCACAGAGGTAAACCAATTATCAGTGCCACAATACTCATAGTGTCATTGTTTGTTTGGAAAGAACCGGCAGGTTGTTATCCAACATATAATTCAAGATTCAAAGTATAAAACATTTTTGAATCGACCATCGAGAAAAGTTTCAGTCCATACTTCTTTGGCTTAAAAGGTATATATTGTCTAAAACCGCATCTACCACGAAAACCAAGAAGCATTTCATCTATTGTCGCGTTCTGTGAAATAGAATAATGCTTTCGACAACTAGATACAAATATATCAAAGACTTCTCGAATTGGCGCTAGTTTATCTATTTTTTTTCTCTCTTCTCTGGTAGTACGATCGTCAAAACGTAAATGCCTCAAGAGAAATAGAAATCATTGCTTGCTCATTGTGAGCCAGAACATTTCTACTCCGGTTCCTTTTCTGACCCATATCTCGTCAACACTCAACTTGGAGCTTTTCAGTAACTCTGACAAGTATAGTAAACCAATAAGGGCTTTTATTTCAATTTTATCTGTTTTCTTGCAGTCCCTATCTCTTTTGTAATTCTAAGTTTTTGTCGCTATGTAGATATTTGTATGATCTACAATGATATCGAGTATTTTATTGTTGATGAAGAGATTCCAGCACTCAAAAGGAGTTTTTGCTTGTTTAGCAATACCTCTTGTACCAGGAAGTTGACTTATTGTATTCCAGCATCGAGTTCTTACTGCCTGATTTGGAGCATGCTTGTTCCATTTTGTAGTATTGTTTTTGCTCAAATAAAACGAAGCTCTAGGAATTTTTGCTGGTGTTCTAACGGGACTTCAGTCATCGTCACATCTTCTTAAACGTTATCACTGCCTTCAGATCTATATTCGACGATATCCTCATTTTGATTTGAATCTTCATCAATTGGCGCCTCATCAGAGTCAACTTCTTCCCAGAAACGCATCAATTTTTGCTGCTTCTTTTCGTAGTCCATTTGCAACTAGAAATGAATAATTATAATGATGTGTAACCCTAGAAAATAGGCCTACTTACCAGTAATCACGTGAAAAAAGTAAAATACGAGTAGTCGCGTGGAGTCTAGGAGACTCGAGATGACGTTTGACAGGTAACGAGTTGCACGACTCTCCACAATCACTTGGCACATCCAACTACCTATCAAATCGAAGAAATTCGAGAATATCCGAGAAAATTCGGAGCGCGGAGTCTGTCAGCCTACCGCGACTACTTCATTGTTAAAACGTTGGTTTTTTTTTTATCAAAAATTACTTAATAGGTATTGATTTTCAATGTTCTTACTTTTTTACTTACCGTTTTGTTTTCAACTTGCAGAATTTAAAATTTCTGTGGTTGATCTTCAAATCAAAAATCCACAGCCTCTTCCTAACTTTTTAGAAACGTGTAATTTTCGCAATAATAAAGATAGTGTACTTTTGGTAATGCCACTATGTAGATTTTTTTAAAAGAACTCATCTATATGAGATTTCGAATCATCCTGCGTTTTCCTAATTTGATTCGAACTAATAATAACAAAGATATAGGCTTGGGTCCTCTTAACATTAATAATACATAATAATATGTTATTTCATTAATACTATGTATTTTTTTTATTGTAAACGACAACGAAATTACGTTTTACATTGAATGTCGTTTGATCCCTTGGATTGAATGAATAATAACGGAGATATAAGCTTAGATTCTTTTAGAATTAACACTAAATAAATGTGTTTTTATTAGAGTTTACGTATATAGGATGTTCCACATTGAATGCCGCTTTTACCATTCAAATTGACCTAGTAATAACGGATATATGTGCTTAGGTCCTTTTGGCAATGCCTCTGCACATGTTCGTAGGATATCTCTGTCTTCTTTTCATCGAGTTTTTCGCACCTTTTCTTCGACTTCGAGTCTCCACAGGCTTTTTTAACGTCTCTTAAACCGAAGAGCTTGATGAATATGTTACCAAAGTGGTCTGGTGACCCCATATTTTATCTACTTCTTACTTAATTTTGGCTTAAAAAACCCAAACAATAACAATTTTCTCTAATTTTTCCGCCAAAAAACAAAAAAACTAAAATTTTCACTGTTTTTCAACATTAACTTTTGTTTTAAATGATCAGTTGTCGTTTTGCTTTCACAGAAACGAATTGGTCTTCAACGAAGACATTCAGTGGCCTTGTTCTGTGAAGATGATATGGGAAACCGGAAAACTCGAGTTGGTCTTCAAGAAAACCGCTAGTAAAGTGTGGGAAAATTACGGAAAATTAACGCAAAGTTCTATAGACGCGCCTAGCAATACAGTTAAATTGGATTTCAGTTTAAAAAGGAAACAGCAAGTGAATCACAATATTTACCTGCTGGGTTTAGAAAGGAGAGATGAATGTAAAATGGTTGTTCCGATTGGAAGGCATGTCAGGCTGTTTGTTAATGTTGATGGTAAGTTGTATTTATCGAAAAATAAAAGGAAATACTATGTTAATTTCTAAATATGTCTAGCTTTCAAACTTAAATATGTGTAAAACGTCTGGAAGGTGACAAAATTGATGATAACACAAGATCCTGGTAAGGCAAATAGCTGTGCAGAAATAAGTCAATTATTTAAAAAATTAATTAAAGCATCTAAAACATAAAATTTCAGTATTTTAATATTTATTTCAGCCTTTCCAATGCTTTTTGATCTCTCTATGACCCAGCATAAAATTTAGTTTTACTCTAAATCGTGAAGAGCATTCAATTTCTCAAATATGGTCATAATCATAAAATATAAAATTGCACACTAACAACAATTTTTATTTCATTTTGCCAACTTTGCCTTTAATAGTATCATTTTAATGACTTTGTGAATTTAGGTTTGTGCCACTAAATTTGATTGTTTCTTTAGAGTTAAGTTCATATTACTTTAATTGTTACTATTCCATTCTGGGCCTGATGTTTTACTCTCTTTTGGTCCGCCAAAGTTCTCAGTTCTTACTTTCCAACCAATATACCCTTGTGCCGCCTGGCTGTCTATTCTATGGATAACTGTAATTTGTTATGCTCCTAAGTATAGTGTCACTCACAGAATCTTCACTCACTATCTTCAACTAGTGTAAGTTTACTGAGGTTTTCAATGCGCAGCTTGTTTTTGCTAAGACAGATACAGACTTGCGATTTGTTGTCCGGTTATAGTCGCCCAAAAGTATCTTAGCCTGTCTTAATCCCATGAGATCGTTACAATTATCGGTTCTTTAAATGTCCAATTTATTTTCAATCTCTCCAAATATTTTGCTATTGCTGATAGTTTATAACGGCTTAGGCCCTACAAAGAATGTTTGATCCTCTTTCCTTGCAAAACTATTTGATCATTCACCCTGTTGTGTTCCGGAACTCAAGTGAGAGTAACTGTATTTATTTGTCTAGATCATTCACACTTCCTAGACACCTCTAGATCTTTTTTGAGCTGATTACGGAAGAGCCCAGTGCTTTGACAGTTTCTTTACTATCATACTGACTGTGCCATATATTACTGTAATTGTGTAATTAGCAGTCTTCTAGTCACTTGAGAGTAAAATAAATTAAAGAGCGTGGTTCTACTTCAACAATTTAATATCAACTTTCATTTTTCAAGTGTCTACTTTCAAGCGGTGTTGCTAAAGTAGGCATGTGGCCTTTTACTACTTAACAATAATGATAATCTCTTGTTTGCGATAATTTTTATCAATGTTGAACCCGATACATTTCCCAATGGCCTGCAGTTCTGTTTGGAGGATGTTTGTGAATGTAGCCAAACTCTCAAAGTACTTAATTCCAGGTCCATAGTTAGTCCTTCAATCCTTATAGGATTTAAGTCGGCCCAAGAATCAAGCAACGAAGCTACTGGAGCAAAAGAATGGTAGTTCTATAAATGTATTTTATGTATTTTATTTTAGATATAACGTTGACAAAAAAAATTTGACCGGACAGTGATTTCTTTATCACTGCCATAGATAACCTTCCACAGTTCTTTGTTGGTAAGAAGACATTTCTTTGAATCCATATTGTTATTCTAATGAACAAAAAAATTTGATAAGGCATTATTAGAATATTATTAAAAAAAACTTTCATGCATTAAATTTGTTACGTTAATCACAAGATGGGGTGAAAAGCTGAAATGCACTTATAAACACTACTAAGTAAATTGTTTTAAGAACGCACACGTACACCTTCGAATACCAATCTGAGATGAAGGTAGACAGAAGCACGACTCTTCAGTATCCAAAGAGCCGAGCAAATGTCCAAAAATGTATTTAGTAGGGTCACCAGCGACCCCACCTTGTGGTTATAGGGTTAAAATCAGTATCCTCTCAGTTTTGGAGACGTCTTTATTTCTTCTACTTTCTTCTTGTAGTAAGTTTGTCATTACATCATCTAAATTCAAATTTTACTGCTACTTTCCATGACAATCACTAATTAATCATAATCTCCTGGTACATTGGCAATGAGTATATACATGTACATTTATGTCAAAAATAGGTCTTTCTAGGTGAAATCTTTATGGTTCCCTAATATAGTACGTCCACTTGAAATAGTTTATCAATTAGTGGTACAAACTATATAGCACGTTATGGTAACTTACAACTTTCAAATCTATTACACTCAAAATGACATTTTTGGACACACAACCTTTGTCTTCTTAACCATCTATTAGTTAATTTTGAACTTCTAATATGTGGTTTATGTAATCTTCCATTTTCTTGAAATCGCTAACTTTTGCATAATTTGACATCACTAGCCTGTACTTACGAATCCTCTTTTCAATTTGGTCCATGCTTCTTTTATCGTTTTGGCAGAACAAAAAGTTCGAATATATTAATATGGTTGGAGAAATATAATTGTTGATCAATATCATCATCGATAGTGTTTTTGCCGATGGCTTGTCACAATTTCTCTTTTATCAGCAATATTTTCATTGCCTGTTCCCAGGTACTACAGTTTTTGTTACCTTCTAGTGTTTCGACTTTACATATCAACGACAACTTTTCTTTAATTAACGTTTTTCTTTGCTTAACTGGACGCTCTTGGGCCCACAACCTTTGTTGTGTTCTAGATCTATAGAATTCTTTTAATTTAAGGAGTATTTTCTTTTAAATATAACATTGACAAAATATTTCAACAAAACATTATTTGCCTCAAATAAAAAATTCCAAGCGGTGATTTTTCAACAGACATGCACTCCTGTTCTAAAAAACTTTTATTTTCTAGGACTAGAACAGTCTCGAAGTTACACACCCGTCCCGTCCAGTCTCTTCGATACAGTGTTATTGAACGACTACGCTCCCGATGAAATTTGCCTTATGATCAAAAGATACGAAACCGGTGCCGTTAGTTCGACGGTTACGAGCAGAGAACCCGAAGAATTGGTTTGGTTGAGTAAACCTTTAGGTGATTTCGACCTGAAGAGGATAGAAAAGAGGGAAGCGTTTCTGCTGCTGGCGGCCGGTACAGGAATCACGCCTATGTTGTCGCTGTTGCTGTTTTTGTTGGAGAGAAGGGTTAAAAAATGGTAAGTAAGAAAATGACAATGTCAATGGTGGTAATTTACCCATTTTAATACCTATCTTCCAGACAGCACAAGTCAATCCATTGGATGTCCATCATAAATTCATTGATGGGCATATCGGCTATCCAAAGGACGTCTAGCATTTTACCGAAGGACATCCAATGGACATCCATTGGACTATACAAATGTTCTACTCCTGGACGTCCATTTGGACTCCATAAAAGGTCCATATATGAACTTTTTTGTATTGCTTTAGGACAATTTATGGACATCTGATGGACATCACCACCTATATTAATAAGAAATAAAATAATTGCAACTATGAACATATTTTACTTGTCATAAATAATATCAAGCATGTATTGATTTAATACGCACTCCTTTCTGTTGACCTTCTCAGCCATTTTCTTAAGGCTACTTCGTTTACTTTTTAAGCAGCACCATTGTCACTCTCAGCAGCAGTTGAAAAAAGACATTACATTTTAAACGAATGGTGGGTCTTAAATCAATCTTTTAATAAACGCCTGATCAGGCAAAACTGATAGTTAAAAATGTAAAACTTTTAGATAAAATGTCCAATGGACATTCATATGAAGTTCATGAACATCCAGGACATTATTTGGACAAAATATAGATCTCCAATGGACATTATGTGCAGTCTGGGCTAGTAATTTATACCTTTTAAGCAACTTCGTATATTCAAATATTTTTAAAACAATTCTATCCTCAGTCAGTCAAACGCTATTGGAAGATGTTCAGCGATATTTATTCTTCAAACGAAATTTGCAGAATAATTGCATAATAAGTCGAAGAATTTCCCAAACAATTTCTCACTTTCGTTCTTCATTTGACTCTGCGCATTCTTGGTGAGGTAGAGCTAAATCGCTATACTTTAAAGGTCTCTATACAGTTCCTCCATTTAACGATTTAGTTTTAACCAGCCCTAGCCTATTTATCAGAGCACTCATCAGGCGTCTTTACATCATTTAATAATATTAATTCCTTATTTCTTCTAAAACATTTAAGTTTTCAGTATTGTTTTGTGGTTTTATAAAATATATAATAATATATCAATTTTTCAAAAAAAATAATAAGACTCTTAAAGGGGTTGATTCGGCTCTTAAAAATTTATAAATATTTAATTTTAAAATTATTAAAAAAAAATAAAATTTCAAATTCTTTGGTCTTCTGTTCTCTATCTATTTATTTACTCTTGCTCTATAGTCTATGCCTGTATCCTTGTCTCGGCTTTACCTAGCTTTAAATGTCTTTACCACTGCTTATCAGCTTTTTCTCTTAACTCCTCCTTCCAGCCACTCTCAGTTTCCAACAAAATTAAATTCTATTCACCTTAATTTTAATTCAATCCCTTTAACTCCTTCAACTCGACAATTCTCCAAAAAAAAATCTTATTCAATACATTTATTGTTTATTGTTCACCCAATATATCTCTAAAATATACGTTGAAAAATGAATTAAAAATGTCAAAATTTCAAATTTCTATCCAAAATATTTAAATTCTCTTGATTGCTCATATTTTTTAATTTGAAATGTTGATTTCACTCAGTGTTCAACACTAAGATATAAACCATTTACTAAATATTAACTCTAACTCCAGACTACAATTCTGTACTATTCAATAACTATCTAAATCGACACTTCATCCTTATACAAATGAAATATCCTACGTAATTTATAATATTCCAAATTCTTTTAACTATAACTATTGAAATTACTAATAAATTATTTATTTCACAAATTTTACATTCATTAATTCAAGTTATCTCCTAGAAATCACATATTTTTCTATATTTTAAAATATTTTATCTTTTCAATTCTGTGATCTTTCTTATTCCAAAATTCAAAATATCTGTTCCCCATTTAGATTTTCCTTTTCTTCTTTTACTTCTGTCCTAATTCTATCCCGAGCTCTATCCTTTTCTGTCAACTTCTGATTTTTAAATATTTGTCCTCATTTTCCCCTATCTAATCTAACTTTCCTTTTATGCTCCTTCTGTAACTGTTTTAATTTTTTTATACTCCTAGATCACCTGATCCCGCCTCACTGGAATTTTTCAAATCTCAATTATTAAAAGTGAATAACACTTCGTTACTTCAAAGAAAGAAATTTTTTCACTTGATACCTGGCAAAAATCTTGAAATACGTCATTATTTACTAATAATGAGTAGCTACAATTCCAATTTTCAAGTTCTTACCTTTAAATAAAACTATATTTCCATACAAACTTATAACCCCCGTTTCCGCCCTTAAAATGTGAAAATCCAAAAACCCTGAAACACGTCATTATTTATTTACTCTCGGTAGCATTATTTTAAATTTTCATGTTTCACTACCACTATGCAAAAATCATGTCTGTGTAAAACAAAAACAAATTTATTCCACGGGAACCAAATATTTTTTAGCCTACTTGCTATTCCAGACTATAATCTATCTTTGTGCTAAATTTCATTCAAATCCGTTTAGCCGTTCTTGCGTGATTGAGCAACAAACATACATCCATCCATACATCCAAACTTTCACATTTATATATTAGTAGGATTACTTTTCTTCCTATTTATTTGTTTTACTTTCTTCCTTTGTATTTGTTTTAATTTTATTTCAATTTCACTTATTTTTATTAATATTTATTTCATCCTCCTGTGTTTTAGTTTTACTTTTATTTTATTTTTATTCTATAATACCTTTGTTTTTTTCTAACCTTATATTTGCCTTGTGTTTTCACAACTTTTTTTATATTCCTTCTTCTTTTCTTAATTTTTTCTATTTTCTTCTTTACTTTTTCTTAAAATCTTCACTTTTAGATTTTCTTTTACTAATTTTATTTACTTCTTGTCCTACACTCCGAATATGTCTTTTGCTTTGCTTCTATATTTATTTCTTCTTTATCTTATCTCTCATTTTCCTCAATTTTTTTTCAGTTTTCATCCATTTTGTTTACTGTATTCATCCATTTTCACCAATCAATCTTCTTCCAGTCTAATAAGCATTTGCATTATGTGTTTTAACGTTACTTTTTCTTTCTTCTCTTGAATTTCGACCATCCCCTTTACTAATGTCACTGTATTGTTCTTATTTTGTTTTGCTTCTCCATCTTTTTCTTCAATAATCGTGACTCCTAAATCTTGTTGTTTCATATAGCCTTGTTATACACTCTCATCATCTCTCTCCTGTACTTCCATCAAATCAACCTTCTTTGCTTCTAATATATCACTTTTAAACTTTCACAACTTTTAAAAAAAAACACACTATATTCCAACCTACACAAATTATTATGTTCCACTTGACTTTAATTTACTTCAATTTAATGTTTCTTTCTCCCTACTCAAATTCCATCCAAAATGTATTAACTTTCTACTCTGTCTACATCCTATTCTCATTCAAAGTATTCTATTATCTCCTAAACTCTACAAAACATCACTCAAGTTACATGCACTATATTCTTTCTATACAAAAATATGACAAAATCCACAGTTTAAATAAAGAAAAATATAAGTAAACAATCTTACCAGTCTTCCTTCTAAATCCCAAAATTCTAAATATCAAAAAAGTTGATCTCCCTTTATACACACAATGTTCCACGTTGGCTGGCTATGCACTTGATATAGAAACACCCTGTTAATCAATTTTTCATAAAATTTTTAAGACCATCAAATGATTTTTTTCGGCTCTAAAAAATTTACAAATATTTTATTCCAAATTTAATAAATTTTCAAATTCTTCTCTCTTCTCTTCTCAATTTCCCGTTAGTTCCTTGTCTTCGTTTGCTCTATCGTCTGTGCCTGTATCCCTTCCTCAGCCCTACCTAAGTTTAAATGTCTTTACCTTTGCTTATTAGCTCCTTCTCTTAACTCTTCTCCTGCTACTCTGAAATTCCAATAAAATAAAATTCTATTAACCTTTTTATTTCACTTCTTCAACTTAACAATTCTTTAAAGAAAAATATTATTTAATACGCCCATGTATTTTCCTGACAAACTATTTCTATGTAACAATTTCTCAAAATCAGCAACCACCAAAATACTATAAACCTGCTAACTGAAGGTGTACTTATCTTATTTTTCTCTACTCATCAAATAGAACATTCTAAACATCCACCTATTTCTCATCTGAGATGCTTTGGCACAACAAGAATGCTTTTTCAGTTTTACCCCAAGAGCGCCACTTGTTTTTCTTAAAATGATGCCTGTTTTTCGAATTATATTCCAAAAGGTTCTAATTCGCGGAATCTAAAACATTAAATAATATTAATTTAATAATTTCCTTTTCGGAAGAGGCCCCATTTACTCCTAATTAATAATCAATTATAAAATTTAATTTCCATTCATTATGCATTACATCGATAATGCACGAAAATTATAACAAGCTAAAATATACAATTTAACGAGAAATTTTGAAAATTTAATTGAAACACGCGCGTTGTTTTTGCTTCCTAACAATGCTTTGATTTTCCATTAATATTTTTTTTCTTTCAAAATAATTTCGATTGCATGCGTTTCGATTCGCGGAACTTCATTAAAATTTGATATTCAACGTTGTTCGTCTGTGAACGATGCAATTAATGTATGATTAGTTTCTACTTTTCAACAATATGTAGTGGATTGGTCGGCAAACTCATTAGTACTATATATCATTCTACGGAATTATTTAATAGTAATTAAAAAAAAAAACGCAAATATCGAAACGGAATTAAATATTTTAAATTTCCAAACAGAATCTCAATCAGAAATGAAGTATTTCGATGGTTTTATATTCTTATTAACGTATGTCCCTATAGTTTTGGCACAAAATATTTAACACTATATTTTTGTAATAAGTCTCTTTATTTAAATTTTTATTATTTGCTATAATTAACGACTTAGTAACTGACAAAATTATGAACCTAAACTAAATGAAGAGGTCCGTGCTCCTCACCAAAGCGCAATTTTCTTCGAATGTTGCTCATTAGTTCCTGGACGTCTACAACATCTATTTCGCGTATCTTTCTTATCTACTAAGAAACTTAAATAGATATGGGAAAAATAATTATACTCAAGACAATGGAAGTAATTATAATAGCAATAATCTAAAGACCAAATACAATACTAAACAATACGTTAGTAACAATAGTATATAAACTTTAGTAACTATGACAAAGATTATAATAACAAGGCAAAAAATAACTATAATAGGAATAACAGCAACTACAATTAAAGATACGCTAATAATTTTGACTCAAACCGAAATAAACAGAATGAAAATTATCAAACACAAAGGGGGCATGAAAGAAGAAATTCAGAAGATAAATTAGGAAGGAGAAATGAAAACGATGGAACAAGGAAACTAAATTATCAAAGAATTCAAAAAAGAAGAACAAGAAGCAAGTGAAGATAGAGGACAAGATGTCTCAAGAATAAATGACATTGAGATTGATTCTACAGATACACAGACAGGACAGACAACAGTACAGATACACGACAGTCATTCTTTTTAAAGACGCACTCACCAAATAAGCAAATTATGTATGTTTGCGCTTTCGAAAATAGAATGTATTAATTTAAATGAAAATACAGAAGTAAATGTAAACAATGGGTTAATAAAAATAAATGGTCTGATTAATAATGTTAAATCTAAATTACTTATTGATACGGGTTCTGAAACTTCATTAATAAGTCATAATCTTGTAAAAAAATTAAAAGTATCAGAAGAGATAATTGTTAAAATTCCAAAAACCAAGTAGGAAACGTCAAAAGAATCCTGACAGCTGGAAATGCAACGTAAGGAAACGGAAATACCACTCTGGACAAGAATACATTTCCAAAAATAAAACTTTAATTCAGCCCAAGGCCCTGGGTCCTCCATGTAGTGACGCATGCAGGTTTAAATGTTCCCTAAACATAACGCCGGAACAACGACGAAATATTTTTAAAACATTCTGGTCGCCATCCTAGTCAATTGAACTTAAAAGGTAGTTCGTTGGTTCCTGCATCCAAAAACAGGAGAAAGGGAAAATCAAAAACAGTATAACAGAAAATTCACTTTTAGCATTGACAGTGTTGAAACGGAAGTATGCAAGGTATTTTTTTAAATACGCTGTCAATCTCCCAGACTTTTGTTTCAATAGCTTTGTCAAAAAAACTGGAAGGTGGAATGACGCAAGGAATCAACGTGACAAGAAAAATTCACCAAATAAAATATCAGCCCACATAAAAGAGAACATAAGAAGTCACATATAAAAATTTCCCAATGTTCAATTACACTATAGCAGAGAACTGAGGTAAATTAGGGGGGTTGTCTTCTTTTGGTACAAAAGGTATGTTATTTTGGTGAAGCCAATTTTGAGTTGCTTTTGCATAATGACATGACGCTAAGACGCAGTCGGGTTAAAACATTATATCGTCTCCGTCGTGATGTTGGTGTACAAAATCAACTAATTTAGTGAGACAGTTGTTAATATACCCATATAAGGTCTGGAAAACCCTCTAGTCGAAAACGCACACCAGACCAAAACTTTATCAGCGAATTTTGCTTTTTCTTTATATTTTACATTATTTGGACCCTCTTCTATATTATCTGTAATAAAACCAACGTTTCCTTTGATTTTTGAGTTGGCAAGTGTAAAATATTTTTCATCGTCTATAATAATGACTCTTTCATTTGCAAAATGTATTCGCCTTAGTTGACGACAGTTAGTTATTACTAGAGTTATAGTAACTACTGTAAAACGTATACTATTAGGTTGTATATATCCACCAAAAGTTGCATAATAATATATAATAACGGTATTAGAATATGTAAGTTGCTGAGTTTTAAGAAACGTTGTCGCAACGTCCGTATAGCCCTTATATAACTTTTTTGTTACTTGGGATTATTATTGTTTATTTTTTAGGTATTATTTATATCGTTAAATAATTTTTTGTAACTATAAATTGATTTTTTACAAAATCAACTCTTTCCATATTGAAATTTAGTTGATTTTAATTATTGATTACATATATTATGATTAGTTTTATGAATAAAATTCATTTTATTTAGTATATGAATTTAGTATTGGCAACGTTGCACTTATAATAAAGTAATCATAAATAACATATAAAACAGCAACGTTTAATTCGTTTTAATTAAAAATTTGTCGATTATCCACAATTTTATTTTTCCATAGATCTATAGTTTTTGTTAATTCTTTTTTTTTATTCTAGCCAATTCGCCAGATTACTATTCTTCAATAGAACGAGTGAAGATATACCATTTAAAAATCAGTTTGATTTGTTAGAAAATGGAGATTCTAGGTAAGTTTTTATTTAAGTTTTATTTTTGTCACCTACCTTGTTGTAAAATGTTATATCTATCGATTTTCTTCAACATTTCATTACAATTTTGAATAGTATTTTCACATTATCTGCTATTTTTTATATCATAAGTCGATTTTTATAATTCAAATGAATCGAAAAGGAAAGGAAACATTTGTTAGGTTGGAGCAAGATATCTCAAAGACTAAATTTTTTTATTAAAGATTCAAAAAATAATATTAGTACGAATATTAGAGGAAAAACAACTAAATTAATGTCTATATATAGGCCAGTAAACAGGTGATAAATTTAACAATAATTCTAACATTTTTTTAACTTCGTGGTAAGATATAGTACCGAATGAATCGGAAATAGCCGAATTTGCAACTCGATACAGGGTTGGGAACAAATTAATTACCTAGCTCTTGACCACACTTTGGGCGCCAATTTGTAATATGTAGTGGATTTAATAGAGGCCTCTTGGTATAGAGATAATTCGTCTAGCTCTTTGGCTTTAGTAAATTTGAAATTCATTATGACCTATCTTAGTCTTCCCTACATAACCTTCTTGAACAGAGTGAAATAGAAGATTTGAGTTCTGAACCAACTTTTCCTAAGCTGTTTCTACTCAAGTTTAGAATGCATCTTGTTTGAAATGAAATATACCATCTGAATTTTGTTGTACTTTTCCAAAAGTTTATGGTGTCACCGTCTCTAGTGTTTAGCTTTCTTTTTAAAGGTTGAAGCAGCCAGAGATATATATTTTATAGACATTTTTAAATATCCAAGTATTTGTTTTCACCTTTGGGGTTCGCGGATGGTCTTAATAATTCGTAGGGGTATTTTTGAGTTTTTTCCGGATTTCATATTAAAATATATTTTTATTTATTAGTTAGAAAATGTTGCTGTTTTAACAATGTTTATTTGGTTAAAAATTTTACATAAAAAAATTGATATGGAAATGATTATGTCAGAGAAAATTTGGTTGTCAAAATTATATGAGAAGCAATATCGAGTGGCGAAGAAAATTAAGGTAGTCAAGAAGAAACGTTTGTTAGAGACTATTGATTATTGATTGGAAGAGAGGAAAATTAAAAATTCTGAGAGGTTTTTAAATAAGTATAAGAATTTTAGTTATTGGTTGAGTTGTGATAGAAATTTGTTGCAAAATTTATATCAATAAAAACATAGTAATTTTCACTTATAAATCATAAACTAGCAGATACAAGATAGGAGAAGCAGATCAGAAGGAGAAGAAGATTGGCATGGCGGAGTGAATCGAAGCGCAGAGATAGAAGACAAAAAGAGTTTTATTGTGATCATTTTAAAAGTTAGATTAATATAATATTTTAGATAATTGAACCTACCCTGAAATGAGATTCTTTCATTGACTAAAAGAAATTTCAATACCAATTGGCGCCCAACGTAGGGCACTGAAAATTTTATATAAAAAAGTTGCAATATCAAGATGTAGTGTTCAAAATTGCCACTATCTAAGTTCCTCTACTGTTTCAGATTAAAAATTGACCACATCTTATCCGAGCCAGAACCAGACTGGAAAGGTCTCTCTGGTCACGTAAACAAAGACATGATCCACAGCGCCATCCAGGAACACATCAAGGACACCGGTTACACGATACGCGACATCTTCGTCTTCGTTTGCGGACCGAACCAGTTTCTGAATCTGTCGCTCGACGAGTTGAACAGCATCGACGTGTCTAACGACCAAATTCACGTGTTTAGCGGATAGCACACGGCACTAGACCAGCAAGAACCTTTCCTATTCTGCGATATTGATATTAATGATAATGAACCACTTTCCACTGTTGTTAGAAACGTTTCCGATTTCGTTTTCGACGTTTTCAATTTTATTGGGCAAAGGTGCCGGTAGATATAAAGTTGTTTTATTGATTTCATTTGTTTTATTGAATTATTCTTGACCATAAAACAGTCCTTGGGTGATAAGAGGTAGGTGTAGGGAGACAGCACAGATTCAGATTGGTATTAAGTATGGATATTTAAGAAGGTAAGTTCTAACTAATGGGTCTTATTTTGTTACTTTAATTTCCTATTGATACGTGTTAATAAAATTGAGTGCCAAATATGTTACATGTAAATTTGGGTGTCAGAAATGTTAGCCTAGTTGTCCTCGGCCTAGCTCAGCAGGGTCGGCGAAATTCGGCTTAGAATTTTACTAGAAAATCAATGGCACTATATTTATTTAAAAAGACAAGAAAATGTTATATTAATGGTTAAGGATGCCATGTATTTAGGTTGTTAATAAATACAAATTATGCCTACTATGTACTGACCAAATCTAAGAGTTTGAAAGGTTTTTACAACAAAAACAATTTATGTAGATTGAATTAAATTGAATAGCTTGAATTAAATTGAACAGACTACAAAGTGACTTAATGATAAACAAACGAGGCTCAATAGATATACAGTACAACTTCAGTAATCCGGATACATATCGTTCCGGTCAATGTCGGATTATCGAGGTATCTGGTACTGGGAACATTTATTTTTTTTTTATTAAAATTCGTAAAATTGCTCACAAAATACCTTTATTTCGTAAAAGTGCGTACCGTAAAATGGGGTGACTTGAAACAATTTTGACTTATTTAGAGCTGTACTTTAAGGATTTTAAGAAATTAGGCAATAAAAAAAATTGTCAGCTAAACTTTGGATCATAAAGAACAAATTCGAGACATTGCTAGAAGGGTTAGCTGTTTCAAGTCATCCGAAAGTTGGGGTGACTTGAAACATTCATATATTTCGATTATAGTTTCAATTCTGCTAGACTTGGGATGACTTGAAACAATAAAATAAATAGTTTAAACACTTCCAAATTTTTTAAAGAAAGTTGCACAACTTAAAAATCTTTATTTAATTAACAGAACATAACAAAAAAAAACTAAACTTATTTTCTTATAATAATAAAAGTTTTATGGCTTAAAAGATAGACCCCTGATGCGCAAACTTCCTCTTCTGAGTGTCTCTACAGATTTTAACACTTCTTTAATTTCCTCTTGTAAGACACTTCTTTAATTTCCTCTTGTAAGACAATTCCGATGTCTTCAATTGCCGGAAAAATGAATATATCGTGACTTTTTTGAGAACGTCTAAGAAATTTGCAAACATAGGAACCAGATTCTTCCGATAAAATTTTAGCCACATAATTTTTACCGGTGCCCTTGGTTGTCTTTAATGTTACAGCCACATATTCTCCAACTAGAGGAATTGTTCTTGTTCCAAAATTTTCCTCGCCATTTTCGTTTTCATTATTGTTAATAACTTCTGAGAGAACACTTGTTCGCCACCAGAAATTTCTTCTGTATCTTGTTCTTCTTCCGGGAGCGTATAATCGTTTTTCTTTTGTGTATCTTACTTGGCCCTTTCCTTTCCAACTGTCTTTCTTTTCTTAACCTTCGGTTTCGGAACATTCTCATTTTCTTTTTCCTTTAATTGGTCGTAGGAAATACTTTCACCTGGTGCAACTGTCAATTTTTTCTTTTTTCCCGAATTAGATGGTTCCTGAGGATTTCCGTAACGTGCATTTTGAAATATCTCGGACATCGATATTACAATGTTGTCTTCAACAGCTTGTTGTTCTATATTTTCATTTTCTTTCGGAAGTCTTTTAAGAATCTTCTCTCTATCCAAAGGAACTAGGTCAGTAGCCATGAAGCCACCTTTTATATTTTTCTCATTGGCTTCCGTATTCTGTAGAGCTTGATTCAACAGCCTAGGAAGTATTTTCTTACAATACCCTTGTTATGCCTCTTCCATGCTTGAAGAGCTGTTCGCCACTGTTGTTTTATGGGCCTAAACATGCACACATCTAACGGTTGACTTACGTGTGTGCTATTGGGTGGCAGTAAAATAAATCTGATGTTATTCGATTCGCATAGTTGTATGACGTTTAGTGATAGGTGTGAAGCTAAATTGTCTCCAATAATTACTTTGGGTCCTGGTGGCAATGTCTTGAAATATGGAAGAGCGGTAGTTACGAACCAGTCTTCAAATAAGTGCATATCGAACCAGCTGATGAACTCCTGTTGTATCGAGCTAGTCCATGTAGTCCATAGATAGGCTGCTTTATAAACAACGTAGACAGGCAACATTACTCCTGAGGCAGAAGATGAAAACATAACAGATGTTGCGGATTTTGAGGTGTCTTGAATTTTTTCGGCCCTTTTGGACTTTCTGCGAACAATAACTTTGATCCTTCCTGGGTCATCGGTAAAATTAGTTTCGTCGTAGTTAACCATTGCTGCTGGATTAACGTCTACTAAGGATACTGATAAATGGTCAAAATATTGATTTATTATGGCATAGTTGATTTTAGCTCTGCTTTGTTTAATTGACTGTGAGAACCTAGTGGATATCTTATTTCCGTGTCGCTCATTGAAACTCATATACCACTCGTGACCTGGTCTGTTATCTATAAATTGTTTAATATTGATTCCAGACCGATTTAAAAAATTTTGCACCAAATCCCTAACATCGGGTTCTTCATACGGGAATCCCCAGTCAGAAGCACAAATAATTGCACGAAGAATAACTATTTCTTGATTTTCCGACAATGCAGTCTATCCGCCATATTTTTTTGAATGTAAATTTTTACATTTTCTATGTAGCGTAGCATATGGTATTCCATATTGCTCACCAATACTTCTTAGGGTTCCTTGTTTTTTTTTATAGCAATCCATAGCCTTTTTTAATGTCTTTTCGCTAAAATCGGCATATCTTCGGCTTCCTGATGTTCTTTCATATTTTCTGGGCATGTTTCAATTCACCCCTGAAATGACAGTAAAAAATAAAGTCGCACGCCACTGCTTTAATTTTTATTTTATTTCAAAAGTAAGGTTATGAGCATTATCACAAATAAATATCTATACTACAAAAAAATATAAATAGCGTAGGGAATCACCCACTTTTTCTACCCCACAGGAAGTAATCGACAGTTTAAAAAATGCATTTTCTTAATTATGTGAAGTACGTAGTCTACAAAGCATTAATACAATATATTATCGATTCTCATAACTATTAATATTTATGCTACCGAATAAAAGATGGCGCTGCAATTTGTTTCAAGTTACCACAATGTTTCATTTCACCCCATTTTACGGTATATAGAAAAAGTAAAAGATCATTCTAATGTTATAAAACTATGAAACTAGACTACATGTACCTATGTAGGTATAACAAACTATATATGTATATAAGCTAATGTATTCTTTTTGGGAAAAATGTGTCTAACTTGGTTTGAATACTTCTCTTTTTAGCCAGTTCAAACGCCTTTTCCTGAAGTCTTTTTAGCAGCAAGATGTCTTCAATTGAAAAGTAATTTTCCTCTGCCCATTGAATGGATAATGATAATGACCTCGCAGCGTCATCGTGTCTAACTCTCTGCACAATTTCTTCTCCAATGTCAGATTCGCCGGATTAATTCTGTTGGTCTTTATTAGCTATTGCCTCGTTTATTATATCTTCTTCTATTTGGTCTACAATAGTGTCTTTTTCTCCAATCGCCCACTGGATAATATCCTTGCTACTTAAGTCATTTTCTGGATCTATAATATTCAGCGTATCTGTAATACCCTGAAGGTCTGAAGTTGTATTGTATACATATTAGTAAAAATGCTTAGGCTCTGATGGCAAAAACTTATCTAGCTCGGTTAGACGGTCGAGGATTTCTCTTTAACTTTAACTTCTCTTTAACTGGGCCATTGATAAAGAGATATTACAGATGTCTGGTTGCTCTAATGGCGGTGTTCTACAGCTCACGGGTATTCTACTGCTTTTGACCCCTTCATCCATTCTATCCTTGTTATAACCGCTTTACCTATTTGTTGGTCTCTTCATTTCTAGGTATCTATCCTCTTTGTTGGCCTCTTTATTGTGGTATCCCCTTTGTTGAAGTATCCTCTTTATTAGCCTCTTTGTTGATGTATGCTCCTTGTCTTGAGGTATCTATCCTCTTTGGTCACCGAACCTACATATAAAAAACGAATCAATATCAGCTGGTAGTGACTGAACGAGAAAAGACCGGCTCGCCACAGCGAAAAGATACTTAAATCCTTCCTTCTATCGTCCGACCGCACAAGACCCAAATTATTGATTTTAACGTTCAACGGTAGCCTTAAAATAGAAGCTCGTACCAGTGGCGTGCCTGAATGTTTTTCCCAGGATGTATTATTATTGAATGTCGTTATTATCCCGGAAATAAAAGTAAAACGTTATTGATAACGTTACATTATTCTTATTTTACCAACACTTTTATTGCTGAGGTGCTTGATAACTTTAGATACGTGTTTTCTCACATTTTTTTTAATATGAATTCCTTTCAATCGTTTGCAGTACCTATTAAAGTTTTAGCAATCAAAATAAGCTATATTTCATTTAAAATACTTTAACAATTTTATGATTCTGAAATAAACAAATAATTGTTAAAATTTAAAAAAGGTATTAAAAATGAACTCTATTTAATACTATAATGTTATGTTATATCTGATATCTGATTCGGGTCGGTGGTGTAGCGGTCTAACGCGCTTATATTCATTTATAAGCAAGTTTGTGTATCAGAGACTGCTGGGATGATTTCGTACTAAAGTCACTAATGCGAACCTGTCTTTTGACGCATCTTTTCTTAATACAAACTCCTCATTGTAATCCAGATGAAACTTTCAATAAAATTCATTTTTAAACCAGTGAATGCATTCTTCATTTCTTCTGTCTTCCACTTTTAATTCTTCTTCAATAAAACTCACTTCAGTCTGGTATTAATCTTTGATAATAATTCAATATTCCTAAAAATCCTCGTAATGTTCTCAAATTTGTTAGTTTCCATTGTACTTTTCACACTTTTCTAATACATCTGCATTTCTCTTTCATTTATCTTATATTCTAAAAAGTGATATGTTGCAGTATTTATCGTAAAACCAGCTGCTTCTTAATACAGTTTCCATATTCTCTATATATGTTCTTTTCATTTCTCAAAAACACTAAAATATCCTACATATAATGTAGTACAAATTCTTCGAATTTATTCAGAATATTATGTAAGGCCCTTACCATATTATAACACAGATGCACTCTGTAAACCAAACGGTACAACACAAAACCCATGTATTGAAAATCCTGTATAATTCCTACTATTAATATCTAACGGAATTACCGAGCAACTGTGCTTCAAATCAATTTGAAAAAATAAACTCTGTATTAACCTTAGAAAAATAGCATCTACAATTATTATTAATCGCCGAAAAATACATCTTGCATCTAAACACAACCTCAACTCACCTTATTTGGCTTCTGTACAACTACTCTCGGACTCACATACTGTGCGTTTCTTCTTTTAATGATTCCCTCATCTAACATTTTATTTATCTCTTTTCCAACATTCTTTCTATACTTATTGGATTTACCTGTTCGTTCATTCAACTTCTTGCTAAATTGTTCTTCCATTTCTTTCACTTTTTCCAAACTCCATATCCTACCACTTGTTTTAAAACTGTGTATCACTGCAAATACCTTTTTAAAACTCTTCTTATTTTTGTGTTACTATATTTTATATTTGCTATCTTGTTCGATTTCTACTTCATCTATTTTCTCTATTCTGTATACTCTTACATACTTCTTATTTTTATTAATTTTACTATAGTGTGCTTTTTTAATAATTCGCACCTTTTCTCATTTCGTCTTTATCTTGTTTTCTATTTCCTTCATCTTTTTATTACTCACTTGGTTTTGGTTTCCAATTATTTCTATCTTATCCCCCTCTCTGTTTTTCTCTAGTTCATCCATTTCCTTCATGAATTCTTCCTTATCCTCTTTTCTATTTTCATCAATTTTCTTAGTATTTTCATCCCTATTTTTTTTCATTTTAAGGAACAATTGCATCAAATCTTCCATTTTAATTCCTTCTTTCTTTTCGTTGGTTTTTATATTATTCTTTTTCTCCTATCTTTATCAATTTCTTCGATTCTCATGTTCCATCCCTTCAATCTTTTTATCTCCTAAATTTTACCATCCATATCTTCTTTTCTTACTTGTTTTACATTCTCATCATCTCTCTCCTGTTCTTCCATCAAACCAGCCTTTTTTCTCCTCACTGGTCTATCTAATATATCACTTTCACTGATATGAGGGAGATAGGACGGTGTGAGTCTAAGGATTTGTGGTCCATGCCTAGTTTGGAAATTAAAATGGTATTTGCGGATTTCCAGAAAAAAAAACCTACCAAATTTTTATTCTTTATATACATAAAAATAATTCAGTTGTTCTTTTTCGTCTTCCTTCCAAAAAAGTGCGCCTTCCATACTACTTAAATAATCATCCGCCTCCTGTAGAACACATTTAAATCCCTATAAATCTCTCCTGATCTCCAGAATTTAGTTTCTTGCACTGACTGTTCTCGCTAGTTATTTTTACTCTTTGTTCTTACTTATGAAACACTTACTACCTAGCACTTACTAGTAGTTGATCACACTAGCTATACTAAAAGAATTATTTATCATCTACAGTTTTCCAAGTTTGTTTAGCATAAAAATTAGCTATTAATGCTACAAATTGTCTCCTCTTACAATAAATTATAGTAATAATCGTTTAACCAGAGGACGCTACGGTGATAAATAGGTAAAGATTTGATACATAATACTTCTCAATAGGCAACCAACATTACAAAGAAAATTTACTCCTCTAGTGAAATTTTCAGGAAGTCTTGACAAAAGGTATTGATTTTGTTGTAGAAGTCTGTAAAATATTACGCCTAATACTGCAAACATATTCTAGATGTCGATATCAATTATTATTCTAAAATAAAAATACTATAAATTACCTAAAAATTGGACCATTAAAAAAAACGAAAACAAAATAATAAATAAATAATTTTATTAAAAAAAAACATTATTTACTTGTTTTTTTGCACACCCGTTACTCGTGTTTCTCTATTTAACAAAAGTGTGGAGCTATGCAAATCTCTTTTTGACATTTGTCAAATTTCTATTATATCAATTTAAAATTAACCAGTAACGTTGACATTCTACAGCTTTGTTACAAGGTGGCTAATAGATGGCAGTAAAATCCTATATTTTCCTATTAAGGCCAAGTATATTAAGCTTTTTACTTTCCTATCTGTATGCAGATATAAGGAAAGTATAGGAATCATGATTTTTTTCGACCTCGAGTTTTCGACGGATTTTTACGTTTTGAGGTCCCTGAATCCGTTTTGACTATTTTCGCGATGATGTCTGTGTGTCTGTGTGTGTCTGTGTGTGTCTGTGTGTGTCTGTGTGTGTCTGTGTGTGTCTGTGTGTGTCTGTGTGTGTCTGTGTGTGTCTGTGTGTGTCTGTGTGTGTCTGTGTGTCTGTGTGTCTGTGTCTGTGTGTGTGTGTGTGTGTGTGTGTGTGTGTGTGTGTGTGTGTGTGTGTGTGTGTGTGTGTGTCTGTGTGTGTGTGTGCGTGTCTGTGTGTCGCATAACTCATTAACCCATACACAGAAAAACACCAAATTTTAAACTTAAGCTTTGTTCCAGCGTCCAATATGCTGATTAGTTTTTGGGCAGTGTCGGAACATCTGGGGGGGTACTTTATGGGTTGTCATTTTTATATTTTATGGAATATATCTGTTATTTACGTTTGGGGAAGAAAATTCTTCAAGTAAAAGTTACTTCTTATATTATTATCTATAATATCAGTTTTATACAAAATTTTCCTAAAATGGTCCGTATTCGAGAAATTTGACAAAATGTAAAAAAATATTTTTTATAAAAATTGTTCCAACAAAAGTTGTTTGTAATATAATTCTCTATAATTTTTATCCTATACATAATTTCTCTAAAATGGACCGTATTCGAGATATTTGAGAAAATATGTAAATTTCGAAATTTGAAGAAAACTCAAAAACGGATAAAGGAAAAAACATTAAATTTTAAACTTAAGTTTTATTTCGGCCTGACGTAAAATGATTAGATTTTGGACAAAGTTGGAACATCTGGGGGGGTACTTTATGGGGGGCCGTTTTTATATTTTATGGAATATATCTGTTATTTATGTTTGAAAAAAAAAATGTTCAAATAAAAGTTATTTCTAATATTATTATCTATAATTTTTGCTTTATGTCAAAATTTCCTGAAATGGTCCGTATTCGAGAAATTTGACAAAATGTGCAAAATTCCGATTTTAATGAAAATTGTTGAAATAAAAGTTGTTTGCGATATCGATCTCTATAATTTTTGTTTATACATGATTTTTCTAAAATGGACCCTAATGGAAAAATTTTTCAGTATTTTAATTTTCAATGAATATCTATAGAAAAATGTTTCGAGGTAGATGTCTGTGAACAATGTATACATTTATGGAGGTGCTGCAATAGGTTGTACAAAATATCCGGAAAAAGCCTGTAATAACTAGATAGGAAAGTCATGTGTTGGACACATCAGATTTTTATCTAAGATCCACATTGTCTTATCTTCTGTATCTATCTAAACTTATGTTGGTAGTGATCCCTGTATTAGATCCCTATTAGTTTCAAGTTTGTCTGATTTTGGATCATTAACAAGTACTTTATATTCGGTTTCAGTCAGTATTATTTTCCCTAGTCTCCTTTTCATGTATTCGTAATTTTTACTTATTAGCGTTTGAAAAAAAATTTGAATTTTTTTTAGTGTCTTGTATGATATCGTATTCGTGCGATATTGCCATCATAATTATCCACTTTTGCTACACAAATAACTATATAACATAGTTTTTATACAGTAGAGGAGTTACAGATTTTGGTGAAAATACACCCTTTCAGGCAATCCTCTGTTCTCTCTCGAGGGATCCCGGCAGACTCCCCCTAATTAGGCTAAGATCCAGCCACTGGCTCCTCTCAATCAAATTAGGGGCTCGGTCTGCTTGCTCTCCACTTTGGGGTTCGCGTAGCAGTAGTGAAGCGCATATATGACCTATTGTGTCACCATTTAGAAGCCCTATTCTTTCCCATCCATCATACATTCATTCTACGTCGTCGATGGTTAACCGCTTAGTCGGCTAAGTCCAGTGGTCACCCATTCATCACGGCTTAACCTTAGATTACATTTTCATACTAAAAATTTTGATTTAGAATTGTTAAACCGTTGCATAATAAATAATTACACCCTAACTTCACGTTTTCAAATTCCCCCTGTCATATTTTTAGGTTAATTTTTTAAGGGTTTTATTCTAAAGTCAGTCATTTGTCACACTTGACATTTCTTCTATTTGTCTTCCATTTTTTTTACCAGAAAATAAAGAGTGATAAACAAAGAATGTTTCTTAAGTATATACCAGTATTATGGGTCTCAATTAACATATGACACTTCAAAGAAGAAGAATTTTACTCTTTAACATAAGTGAATTTTTCCAAGGCTTATTTACATTAAAAATATAATTTGTTTGACATGACTTTCCTGTATAGTTATCAAAAATACTGATACAGCCCAAAGAAAAGTATTACATTATAAATTAAAGATAAAAATTTTTTGAAACAATTTTTCATACCTATCTTCATTGTTAACGAAATTAGGTACTGAAAAATTTAAATTTCGCAATATGCTTGATATTTCTCCATTACGGTCCATTTTAGAGAAATCATGAATAAAACAAAAACTATTGGGAATCACATCACAAACATTAATAAAAAATTTGTTCTATGTTCATAAATAACAAAAATACACCTTAAATTAGGACCCCACATGCTCCGACTATGCCCAAAAGCTAACACCAGGATCTATAAAAGCCGAAGTTTAAAATATGCTATGTTTCGCTTTATTCGTTTTTGAGTTATTGTGGATAGAGACACACAGACAGACATCATCGCGAAAATGGTCAAAACGGATTAAAAGACTCACAAAAAGACGAAAACGAGTTAGAAACAAATCCTTATCGGATACTGCAAAGTAAAAATTATAAATTAATTATTTTTATTACATTAAAATAAAGTATGTATTTACTTGTATATAAAAATATTTAAACTGTCATTAAGACCTTCTAAGGGCTTGTTGCGACCTTTATAAGCGGTTAGGACAGTTCCAGGAGACAAACTATCCTCAATTTTAGGTGTTCTATATTCATCATCTCTAGAAATATTGTTCTATAATTTTGTTTCACCTTGTATATTAAATTAGCAAACAAGCTATAAAAGTAGATTTAAAAAACCAACTCCAAAATCGTGCAAATCCCATTACAAATTGAGTTTGCTGATTTTTTCATATATCCCATCGCCAACTCTTGACCACTCCTTAGATACCCCCTTTCTAACAAAAAAAGTATCATGGAACTCGAACAAGATAGTAATGAACTCTTGTTGAACATACAAAAAAAAATGAAGATTTTGATGATTTACTGATGGACCCAATGATTAGATCTTGACTAAATTTATACGGGACCACTTCTGAAGTACCCCCTTTCTAACAAAAAAAGAAAACTGTTACTCGATAATTATGTTTCGCCTTGTATATTAAAGTAGCAAATAAAATAAACATAATTTTCCATATCTAATTTTAGTTACAAACGTACCTACAAACGGCAAGACTGGTGATAAAACATAGAAATTACCATAAT